AAACCGTCACATAAAGGTGCTGACGCTGCTCTTGTGGAAGTCTTTACGCATCACGTACCATCGGACCATTACCAGCAGAATGTTTCTGATCTGAGCTTCAGTCTGATTTCTATTGTTCAGAAATCAATAGGGAAACTCAAACTCAATCAGGGAAACTTCAAACTCTTTTGGGCACATTGGCCTTTCTTTTCAAGATAAAACGGATCAAAAACATACATTAGGTCCAAAATCAGCAATATAGAATAGGATGGGTGTAGAGAATGTATGAACTAAATTTATATTATTACATCCTAAACCAGCCTGTTATCAGCTGAAGGCCTCATCGCTCTCTGGGAGACTGAAGAGAAAACAAAAGGAAAGTGGAAATCTGTTGAAGATGCATGTAGCCACATACATCAATTTTAGAAATTCAACAGCCCCACCTGCTGTTTGATATGTGCATCGTCCTAGTTGTGCCAAGAGACACTTTGCAGCTTGAAAGAGTGACAATAAATGTTTTGGCAACGGATGATGCAAACTGTTGAAAGAAAACAGGTGTATACCAGCTCTGATTTCATACCTGAAGTTCAGCTTACTTGTGACATAAGGAGTGTTGCTGCTGCTGCACAACAGATGTTTGGTTCTTGTCTTCTGTGGCTCTGCAGCAAATTGTTATAAAGATTACAAAAGTAACCTTAATTTGAATCTGTGTTCAGATTCCTTCAATTGTATGAGAAAGAAAATCTACTGAACAATCCCAGTGAAATGTTACAGCTCCAGTTTTTAACGAGGCAAAACATCAGCATCTTTGTTCCATTACAAATATGAAGAAAATGCTTTATTTTAAAATCGTTTGATAAACAGAAGTTGATCATTTCTGAGGTGTTTTCATTCTGAAAATGGAGTGGACAGCTCAGTTTCCTTTATTTAAACTATTCTAAATTATCTTGTAGAACAAGTTCAACTGTGTGTATGAGATAGAGGCTTTGAGGTGGAACCTGATACCTTTAATCAGTTTGTCAAACACCAGGGCACTTTTCACTTTATAGCCTTTTAAGCCTACACACACACACACACACACACACACACACACACACAAACTAAACCTGCACATTCCTGCATGCATGTCCACAGCCCGTCTGTACTCTTTGAACAAAAACAACAAAGCAGAGACAGGAGCTGGTGTGTCAGCCTGCATGTGGCCACACTCTGACTCCCCCTGTGGCCTGGATCAGAGGAGTGAACCCAAGCAGAATCTCCGTCTTCTGCCAGATGGATGAAACCACTTAGCAAATTAGCAGTCTTCCCTTTTTGGCTTTACAACACATACACACACACACTCATGTGGACACACAGTGAAAACACATACTGTAAAAGCACAGGTACCAGCACATCTGCACAGACAAGCAAGAGGCATGGGGTGGTAAAAGGCTAGGTCACGAGAGACTGGCTGGACTAGAAACATGCAGAGGCTGGAGAGAGAGAGTGAGAGAAAGAGGAGGAGTGAGAAAGAAAGGGAGAGCAGGAGGAAGGTGAGAGGAGAAGGAAGGAGGACAACATGGGGCGACAGGAAGAAGAGAGGTGGAAAAAAATTTGAGTCAGAGGAGAGGAAAGGAAGGAGAGGAGAGAAGTCAGAAGATGTAAGAAAATATAAAAAGATAAGAAGGGAGGACATGGGGGCAGGCGAGGAGGACAAGGTGAGTCCTTGCAGAGAGAATTAGTGTAGCACTAAAATCCAGTCTGTTGAAGGGAGCATGTGAGGGAGGGAGAGAGGAGAAGGGCGAAGGGGGAATTGCCTGTGGCACGCATCCCTTTTACAGAGGTCACCCCCAGTACAAATGTACAGACACACACACACAATCCTTTCCTCACATTTTCTCACCAACCTATGAACTCATACACATGCGAGCAGGCGTGGCCATTTTAAAATCATCAAATAAAGACAAAACATGGCCATGAACGCATAATGCCACAGATTTATACAAAGAAAAAACACACAAACAAGTCATGTGTGTCCGCACATGCTTTCATCCCGGTGTCCAGAGAATCACATCAGGGCCTCAGCGGACACACAGGGATCAGATTGATTGAGGCAGGAGTTCTTAGCAGCAATAAGGAGGATTAGGACAGCTAATAAATGTTTCATTTGAAGCCAGATGTAGATCAAACGTGAGAAAAGCCTCCAGCTCGTTCTCTGGGGTTGGTGTGATTCTGCTCCCCTCCTCCTCCTCCTCCTCCTCCTCCTCCTCCCTCCACCGCTGCCCTCAGCTGTTGGTTTTCAGCTGTATTATGACAGCCACTACAGATTGTCTCACTAGCAAATACAGTCCCTGCCCCTTGTGCCTACACATCATTAGCTGCCCATCTGTCAGCTTCCTAACAGGTTCCCACTAATGTAGCCAAAGACTCACTTCATTGCATTCCTATCCAGCATGCAGCAGCAGACACCCAACTTTCACACTCCGTCCTGCTTTTCTTTGACTTTTACTCCTCTCTCCTTAACTTCACCTCCCGTTCCCTTCTCCACTCATGTCTGCTCCGTCCCTCTCTTCTTGCATCATTTCAAACAATCCTCTTCCTTCTCGCACTCCACTCTCCACATCCACTTTTAACCTTTGCACTCCACTACCTCCACCCCACTGTCTCTGCTCTCCTCCTCAGACTCGTATCTGTGAAGATGCAGGACTGGTACCAATGGTCAACAGGGGATTAGCAAGAGTGGAGGATGGAGAATGTGTGAAAACCAGTTAAATCACACACTCAGCAGGCCAGAGACTCTCTCTCTCTCTCTCTCTAACACACACACAAACACACACACACTAGCGCAGATGACCCACACATGCGCACAACCCAAACAACCAGGCACAAGCTGTCTCTGGCATCACATGGTTATCACTCAGCGTGCACATGGGCCAGACTCTACTGCTGAATTTAGGCACACAAAATCAATATAGATATAGCATGTGTCACTGCTGCCTTAATGATCTGCTGCGTTAAAATAAAATAAAATAAAATAAGATAAAATAAAATAGTTCTGTGTGAGAAAGATGCCGTGGCTAATGGCAGCGACAGCGACACCGGTCCTGGCAAATGGGCTGTGTGGCTGTGTGTGTAACTCTATCTGTGGAGGGGGAATACAGCAGTGGTTGGGTAATGGAAAGGTCATTTAGCCAATCCCCCAGGTAGGGGGGCTGGTCTGACACGGCTCGTTTGTCACAGTTCAATAACTGCCACTCCAGGGGAGTGCATGTGAGGGAGGGAGAGAAAAAGAGTGAGAGAAGGGTATAGGAAGTGTGTGTGCATGTGTGTGTGTGCGTGTGTGTGTGTGCTGCAACCCTGTGTGTGACTGTGTGCTCAGACCCGGGCAGCACAGCTGATTCCCAGAGCTTGTCCCTCCATTAGAGGCCTCAAACTGGGTCACAGCGAAGGCCGAGCACCACAGACTCACAGTCCTCTCACTGTGAAAACTTGTAAGTCCCGGCCTGGGAGGGTTATCTCTGCTCCACTGGTGAATGTCAGGTTTTTCCAAGTGGGAAAAGTGAATTCACCCTCTTGAACTCAAAGAGGGAAACTCCACAAGGATCTCTCACTGTAATCCATGGCTGTAGATCAAGCAGAATGAAAATGTGAATTCACTGAGATATGAAGGTGGACAAGGGGGATCCAGGCTTCTTCTTAACTTAACATTGCAAGATGAGGTTTTTCCTTTTAAAACATTTAAGGTAAATTGAAGAATAAACAATCACTTAGTCCCATACTTCTTGTGCTAAATTGATAATCACCCCAAAACACATCTGTCCAGTCATTCAATCAATCAAACATGTTTCTATCTGATGCCACACATGCAGAATTGTAGCTCAAAGTCAGACAGATTGCAATGGACCAGCATTATTCTCAGTCGCCTGTATTGATTTGAACTGTCCCTTTAACATGTCGTTAGGTGTGTGACAGAATGATCCCCCGGCTTTGTGAGAGAGCCAAAGAGAGAGACACACACCTCACTGAGCGACTGGTGAGAGACACCACAGTGTGTCCCTCTCCACACTTTGAAAATCTATAAGAAGCTTCTAAGTGTTCATTCACGTGTCTCCGTGTCTTCCCTGAGAGACGCCTCAGGCACAGATTTGTATTCACCTCAGCAGGATTGAGATATTCTGTATTTCATGTTTGACCCCCTCCATCCCCAGTGGACATTTAAGAGCTACTCACCCTGTGATGGGGCGGTTTGATCCCACTTAATACTTTACTGGGTGTGTTCGAGATGTTTTAGAAAGGTCTATGTCTCCCTCTTGTGGTCATCACAGGAGCACACAAAACAACTGTTGAATCAAATTAACAGGGTCGTATTCAGAACAACCATCCATTCTCTATAATATCCTTTAAGGTTTCAGGGTCTTTGAGTTGGTGGATTGTGGGATTTCTCTCAGGGGTGATTTGGCTTTTGAAAAGTCACAAACACAACATGTGAACGTTTGAAGTGAGTGTGGCGTCATGTTTATGTAGTTCAGCTCTCAAATGGCAGGTGTATCAGCAGTATCTGCAGGTGTGTATTTATTACAATATAGTCTTAAGTACAACATGTATCACAAAGTCTTAATAGTAAACACATTGTTTGCCTCTTGTCTAATGTTGAGGTCAATTCAAAATAAAAAGATTAAAGAAAAAAGAATTAAGACAGAAAAAATAATAATAATAATAATAATTCAAATAGAATACATTCATTAGTTAGATTTGTAGTGTAACACTCATCATCCACTGCTGACCAAAGCTGTGACTGAAACCAAACAGTTTGTCTATGAGAGTTTGTCACTGTCATTGAGTAAACCACAGGGACACACAGAGACATGCACAGTCCTTTATCTAAGCAGACTGAACTACACGTGTCCGATAAAGCCTAAAGACACAGCCTGGTCTATCAAACCACAGTGAAAGAGGCGGCCTAACTCTGGGGCTGAGCTGACTGTGGTCAGTGACATCATGGGACAGAAGCGCTTCCTCATTCAATATGACTAACTGACATTCGGGTTACTCACGGTTTTAAACACAGCTCACTTGGCTCAGAATCAGCTGAACTTCCAAAACGTGATTTTTAAAGTTTATCCAGAAGAAATCCAGTCAAAACTGAGATGACACTCCTGTTGTTTAAAGATGCTTTCTGGGTAAGTTTACTTTTTTAGTTTCAAGCTTTGATGAAGTTGTTCTTGTTAAAAAAACTTGAGGCTTTTTGAGATCTTCACAATCATGCTGTACTTGAGTTTATTTTAGCAATTCACATTTAAGTAAACTCTAATGGACATATATAACTGAAAGTTAGCTGTCACAGCTCTGCCACAGACATTTTAAACTTATAACTTAGTCCCTTTTTACATAATATTATTAGTAGTAAATAATAATGTAGATTAAATGCAGATGGCAAACTGTTTACACAATGTGTTGAAGGGCCACTCACACTACATAATTAAAATCACATCTGAGAATCCGTCTATCCTCACATAAGGAAGAGTTTGATCACGTACACAATTATGTTACCAAGTCATATAGAGGATTATCTCTGTGAGTAGTTAGTTCTGCATTTTTACCACATAGTGAGTCCACGATTGACACAAGAACATATTGCAACTGTTGTTAAGCAACATTGCCCATTGCAATATCAAATTTTTTTCCTGTCTTTCAATACAGGGGGCAGATTTGACTTGTCACGCTGGGTATGACACTGTGATCCAAAGGTTACGAGATGGAAGGCAAATGTGCAAAGATGTGGAGGAGCTGTTAAAGATGAGGTAACATCAGTTTGTACAGTATAAGGGGTGGTTGTGGCTCAGGAGATTAAGTGGGTCGTCCACTAACCAGAGGGTCAATCAATCAATCCCCATTTTGGACACACTGAAGAGTCCCTTAACCCCAAATTACCCCCGGACAGCTGTGCCAGCAGTGTGTGAGTGATGTTTGATAGAGAACATGCTGCACAGAGATGGTTGAATGATAAAACTAATGTGTTATCCAAAAATTGTGCTCACTGAAGTTTTGGGTTTAATCATAAGAGCCATTTAAGTTGCACCCTCAACAATATGAGTCTGGGATGAACTTCCTAGAGAAAATGATTCGGTGGTGGTGAACTGATTAACAGCATATGTAATCAGTCATTTCACAATTTAGCAGAAGTTTCACCAGTTCCTGGAAATGCAAAGAATGACAAGACTGTCTCGTAGCAACTCACAGAAACACTACAAGTGTTTCTGGGAGTTGCTACTAGTATAGGTACAAATATTCTACAGCAATGATACAGCAAATTCATATAACGTCAACTTCAAGATGAACCTGAATACAACAAAATGTGGTTCAGGCCAATGAAGCACATCTTAGAACAGCTTAATACATAATTAATCTTGAACTGGAAATTGGTTCTTGTTGTAAGATGATGATGATCTGGTGCAAAAACATAGAACAGTGCTTTTTCAAACCTCCAAAGCTTGTGTGGCGACAGGTTGATTGATACGTCTGCATGTTCTCACTGCACAGGGCACTAGCAGAAGAGAGGTACGGGAAGGAGCTGGTGACCATCGCTCGAAAAGCTGGAGGACACGCAGAGATTAGGTGAATACATTGTTTCACTCCTAATAAAATTGCTATGTGCTCAGTAATGTACTGTATATACCCACTGTTGTGTCACAACAACTCTAGTGTGGTTAAATATCGAACACACACAGTTTGATGCTGACATAAACATCCATCATATTCTCTTTAGAGGAAACACATTGTTGTGAGAGAAAAGGAAAGGGTGTGTGTGTTTGTGTGTGCCCCCCCCCCCATCCAATATGTAGGGTCAGTCATTGTTTCCTGTAACTCGGTTTCTCTTCTTTCAAGTTTCTCTCGTGTAAGTCACCTGCCACTGACTACACTGTAAAAGTGAAAATGACAGACACAGATGACATGCTTTCTGTTGAGTCTGATGTGATATTGTACAGTTGTTTCTGCAGCAGTTCGACCGTTAAGCTGCACTGAACTTTTGTGTCTTCTTAGAAAAAAAAAGGGAAGAAGCTTGTTTGTCACAAATAGCAGATGAGTTTGAGTTATATTTAGTTTTTTGATTTGCAGAGATAATCCACCTCTTTGTATCCTATAACAATCTGCAGACAGTCGTTAAATCATGATCTGATCTGACATGTATTGTTTTCCAGCACCTTGAGAGCGTCATTCGACCAATTAAAAATACGTAAGTTCATTAAGTTGTTTACTCCCCTGACAATAAACTCACAACTGATCACTGCTTCCATCTTTCTAATCCTTCAGTTTGCTTGTGTTATTTTTGGCTGCAGAAATTGAGACCATCGGGCACTTTCACATGCAACTTTCAGATATATTGAAAGAGGAGGTGAAAAAGATCGAGTCATTCAGAGAACGTCAGAAAGAGCAGCGGAAGAAGGTTATGGAAAATTCATGTTGCTTAGCAACTGACTTATTGTACAGAGTCATAAGGTTTGATTTCCCTGAAGAACATTATGTAAAGGCTGATATTTTACGCTGACCTTATGCTTATGGGGAACTTCTAACCTACATTAAAACATGATATGCAAGACTGAAATCTTTCACTTTGTCCTTATAGTTTGAAAGCATCATGGAGAAGGTTCACAAGAAAAAGATGTCCTCGTTCAAGAAGACCATGGAGGTAGGAAAACAGCTACTGCTGCTTCATTGGTATTTTACATTTAATCCACAAAACCTTTTCTTATTGTGAAACTGATGAACATCACTGGCATAAACCACAAACACTACACATGTATCTGAGTCCTTGGTGGAACTCTGCAGTTCTTCCTTTCATTTTTTCTTTCGCCCAGTCGAAGAGGAACTATGAGCTAAAAGGCAAGGAAGCTGATGAGGCCGACCAGGGCGCTGAAAAAACTACACCCACATCCAAAAACTCAGAAAAGGTACAATCAGTATATGAATGACCGCAAAGTTAGACCAGTTGGTAAAGAATGATAAGGATTAAAAGCTTTTTTATCAAACCCTCCACACAAATGACCAACACTTCAGTTCTGCTTGAGAGGAAGTTTCCAGTTGATAGCAAGACAACATTGGCAGTGGAACGGTGCACAATCAATGATGCAATGCAAACTTCCAACTGAGAGGAACTGAAGTATGATCATGTGCGGCTGTGAATCTATTCCATCACTTTAAAGCATGTTCAATATCAGGCAATTCCACAAATCACCCTGATTATATTCAAGAAAGGTGCAGGAGTAACATTTCACAAATAAATCTGTATTGGCCTTTTTTAAGTTCAAGTTCCTAGGGTTTGTGATCAGACCGTCACATGAACCGTGCATGTAACTTCCTGTGTAATAATTGCTTCACAGGTACGTCACAGGGCCAAGCAATGCAGGCAGATAGCCAACGAAGCAGGTGGGACTCAGAACCAATGTGTGGTTAATGTTGTGTTTCAGTACAAAGCATAACCAGCTATAATGAGACTTTAAACTCTCACAGAGAAGCTGTACTTCAACAACGTCATGCAGCTAGAAACTGATCGCCAGGACTGGGAAGAAACCCACAAAAGCACATGTGAGGTACTGTGAATGATATTCCCTGAAATGCTCTGGAACCTGGTCTCACAGCCCAGAATTAAAGCTCCACAGACACCACACCCCTGACTCTCTAACACCTTCCTATTGCTGCCCAGTGAGGAGGTGCAGCAGTGAGCATGCAGTCACATACTCCACCATACATATACAATTGTAATTCAATAATAATAATAATAATAATGTGCACAGATGCAGCATGAATGTTAGAGAGAGGGATATGATCAAAGGAGGAACCACTCAGTTACTGCAGAAATTAATCAGCTACTGACACTAACTTGAAAGTGCTACAGTAGGAACGAGTGGTGTATACTTTTCTCGTCAGGTGTTCCAGCAGATGGAGGGAGATAGAATCAGCGTGCTCAGGTGTGCTCTGTGGGACCACTGCAATCACTTCTCCATGCAGTGTGTCAAAGATGATGAGGTGAGCTCACTGCACATCCTCCTGATTTGAGTTTTGAACGTTTAAATCCAGGTACTTCTTCAAAATGTAAGTACAAATGTAATTTTGAAAGGAAAGTTGCATTTTTTGATTGCTGCACTATTTGGATACTGAGTTTAAGCCATACCACAAAGGGCTTACATTTTCAAACCCAAATGAATGTGTTTAACTAAGAACAGCAATGAAACTAGCACGGCTCTGTGCACGTTAGTCTCAGTCTATTGGCCGATTAGTCCATCACTCTGGTCCTGAGCAAAATATCTCAACAACTATTGAAGGACTTTTCATGGCATTTTATCCAGACATTCATGATCCCCAGAGGACGTGCCATTTAGCAAATGTTAGCAGGCTAAAATGCTGAGCATGATGCAGAACATCAATGCTGATGTTAGTAATTTAGCACTGGGGAATAGTAACCAACTGGTGGATGATTTAGTCAAAATAAAAGCCTTTCACATGTGGTCTTATCGACATAATACAATTTTTAGCATGGGTGAGACTGAAAAGTCTCTGACCACTGAGCTAACCAGAATACATGTGCAGTTCTGATCTCACATGGATTGTCTCCTGTTTAAAAATCAGTTTTACGAGGAAGTGAGGAAGCTTCTGGAACAGTGTGACATCACGACGGACAACAACTGTTTCATAGAGACAAAAGGAACAAGTTCGAGGCCTCCAGGTGAGACCTCTCCCCTTTAAGGAAAGCCACCAACTGGAAAAGAGAAGCGAGTAACAGTGTTTTATTTACACTGCTTATCCACTAATCAACCTATCTCTTTCAGCTCAGCCACAGTACACACTTCTCACTTCTCAAGTGAGCAGCTTCTCTTTTTCTCTCACAGAGCCCATCGTGTTTGAGAGATACTTTCCGACGGAGAGGACCGAAAACAGCAATGGCCAAGCACTTATCACAAGAGGTGGAGAGGACGTGATGAGGAGGTGTGACACAAATAAGCTTGTAGGAGGTATCAGCAGGAGGTAGCATTGTTACTGAAACGTGACAGGGTAAAACATAGGATAATACATGCATACTGTGGGATTGGCAGTCAGACTATGTTGTCACCTCTCGGTTTCATCTTTTCTACGGTACCAATATAATATATATATACATGTGAGTGTCTTGCAAACATAATCATATCTCACTGAACCTGTATCACACAGAACCCCTGAGTCGCCTCTGGGAAGCTTTGTGAACATCGGCACGGACAGTCCTCTGAACTCACCATCACTGACATCTGTTGGTGAGTGTAAGTACTCACTCCAACAGTTTGTTATGTTTGTGTATTTTTGAATAAGAAGTACAACAGACATGATTATTTTTTTATTTTTTTATTCCAAGTGGATTTTTATACTGTATTTGTTTGTGGATTTACATATTCATATGCACTGTTAAGCAAACACAGTGTATGGCTTGGGATTTAAAACTGAAATAATCTTGATTTTGTTGAAATGAAATCACGATAGGTAGGTAGTATTGAATTTGTTTATACAATTTAAATAAGATGTATAATCACATATGCAAATGAAAAAAGTATAAAATATAAATATAAAAATCACATCAAATGTTTCTTTTAACTTATTGTGTATGCTTGCAGAAACACAACACGCTCTATGAGATTCAGAGTTGGGGTTTTGTAACAACAGATAATAAATAAATGAATAAATCAGGACAAATCAATTTAGATTTGAGCTGAAAGATTTATTAATATCATTTTTTAAAGGTATTTTGTTCTGATCTATAAAAAGAACATATAGCATTCACAGTTTTCTCCTCTGACTTCGGCCTCAGTTGAGTTTTCAGGTGGAGGATATGCACCTCTAACAGGACTCCAGCAAGACACATCACTGGCCACGTTTACAGCTGATGAAGAGAGCTACATTGTGCTTTATGCATACACTGGACAGGTGATCACTTTGTATAATTTTATTTATTTATATTAGTTATTTAGTAAGATGTAACTGGACAAGACTGCGAGTGGACAGTATGTTCACAAGTTCATGTTGTTGTTTTAGGTAAGAGAAAGACAGAAACAGTCTGGTTTGTGTTTGTGGGACTCACCTAACTTGTCTTCTTCCACATGAACTGGTCAGGAGGACGATGAACTGTCTGTAGGCAGAGGGGACGTGGTCCGAGTGTTGGAGCGAGGAGGAGATGGTTGGTGGACCGTGGAGAGGGACAGGGAGACTGGACTGGTGCCAGGGAACTACCTGGGCAAAATCTGAAAAACACACACACACACGTTTGTACAGCTATCTTAGCGAGGACACTCATTGGCATAATACATTTGCCAGCCCCTTACCCTAACCATCCAAACTAAATGCCTAACCCTTAACCTAAACTTAATTCTAACCCTAAAATCAAGTCTTGACCCCCAAACAGTCCATTAAAAGGGGGTCCCAAACTGAGGACCAGCCAAAATGTCCTCACTTTGACAAAAATGTCCTCACTCCGTTGGTTAAAAGCTAAAACTGGTCCTCACAAAGACAACTGTACAAACACACACACATTTGTACAGCTGTCTTAGTGAGGACACTCATTGGCATAATGCATTCCCCAGCCCCTTACCCTAACCAATGCCTAACCCTTAACCTAACCTTAACCTAATTCTAACCCTCAAACAGTCCATTAAAGGGTGGACACAAAGTGAGGACCGGGCAAAATGTCGTCACTTTGAGAAAAACGTCCTCACTCCGTAGGTTAAAGGCTCACAAAGATAGCTGTACAAACACACATTGCCGCACACCAACATACGCAGATACAGTATTTTAAGTTTTCTGAAACTCTACCTAATCATTTTGCACAGTTTTTTCTGGCTTGTTAAACATGTAAGGAGGACATTTTGTTAATAATGGTGAATAAATAATACAGTTTGCTGTTCTCTGGTCAGCCCCCTGTCACACTGAGAAAACAACAGGAGACCCTCAGCAGGATTCACCAGCAGTGAATGATAGATGTTTCAAACAGATAAGAAAAAAAAAAAGGAATACAAATATCACAGGTTGAAAAAGGAGTGGCATACATGTAGAAGACAAAGAGGAAGATGTCAAGAGCTTTTGGTGATAATGTCCGACGTCATGTGGATGTGCTGTACACAAAAATATGTGACCTCTGCAGCAGAAGGTTCCAGGTTCTATGTCTTCTGTTCTTTTTTAGTGTTTGAGAGTTGGAAAGATAGAGGGTTGTGTATGTTGTAATTATATAGTAAGGTATTTTCTGTAACTGCTGGGAAGAACACCAGTTACCATCTAATCATGACCTCAGTCTTTATGGTTTAACTTGTAACACATTTGCTTTCATTTAAAACCAAGTGGATAAAATTGCAATGAAACCATCACATTAAAATGTATGAGTTTATTTGTCTTCTCCCTCTTCTCCCATCCATACATCTTTTATTTTTATCGGCACTAACTAAATATCTAGGGGTCAACTTAAACAGCTCAAAAATATTAAAACAGCGTACAATTTCACAAAGATGTATAAAACAACGTCTCATATTTCTTTATAGCAGGTTTATAGCTAACAAACTAAACAGGGGGAATTCTCTAGCTGTAACCAACTGAATCTACGCCTACACAAATCTTCAGGTAACACTGATAATAACTGAAAGCAATGGAGACTAAAAAGGTTGATTCACAATGTAAATATTAGGAACGTCTCACTAGTGAAGGTAGATTCAGAACATCCACACCAAAACAGAGTCATGTGCATCATTCACAGCCCGGATATTATAGAGAATATGAAGAACTAGTTTCTACCAAACATGGCTTTAAATGCAGAAGTGCTCCACAAACTAACAAACTAAATAAAATGTAAAGATAAAAACATTGAATTTGTTTTTTTCTATGGTAAAACATTCCTCCATGTTCACAAAGTCTGGTCAAGCCAAGGTATTAGGAATACTCTACATGTTCTTTTAAACATAAAACCTTGCATTTTAATAACTGTGGAATATCTCCAGAGCTCCAGCCATAGTGCAAACTAGTCCACAAGGAAATACATTCCACGCAACACTCCCAATCTTAATTCACGCTCATCATCCTGACTGGGTATGTGCCCACATTTCACGAAGCCATAATTAAAAGAATAGAAACAATTCAACATCAATATCACAAATATAAATTAGCCATTCACAACTTTGGCTTTTGTAAGTGTTTCAGTTTTTGTAAGGAGAAAAAAAGAACATTTAAAGTAACAGTAACTTACGATGTATGTCAATAAATAACTGTTGCCTTGAGGCCCCCGCCCACCCAAACCACGTCGACAGCGTTCGCTACTTTATCATGAATTGTGCAAGGTGTGCTTGAGCTTATATACAACTACAGCTGAAATCTACTGTGGACATGTCCGGTGACGCTCCTTTTTTGATTTTCTTGAGTGCTTCTCTGACTTCACGCGTAGCTGTTGGTTGTAACCAGCAGCTCATACGCCGGGTCGTGACTCCTCCTGCACAGCACCACGCAGGCACAGAGCATCCCCAGCATCTGCAGTGACACGATACAGGAAGGAAAGAGAAGCTGTTACTCAAGTTATATTCCCTGTGAGGGAGCAAATAACGTGAGTGTAATCACAGAGGGAGAACTAACGATCACGGAATGCTGAAAGAAACTACTGAACATTTGCTGTATCTTAAATTTATATTCATCCCTGCACTTGAAGACAAGCATCTGATCTCCAGGAATAATTTCATGTTGTCACTGTGCCACTGTGGAAAATCACACTGTGTAAGCAAATGATGTTAAACTAAGAAGCATAATCTTCTCACACATGCAGAAGGAATGCTGATCTATAATGAGTGTGTTTGAATATAATTCAAACTGATTGGTCATGCTATGTTTTGTCACTACTTTAGGAGCTGGGGTTTCCTGGTCAGCATCAGCCATGCTGAGCTTTCAAACACACTAATCCTTCACACAACTGGGTCAGAGATTCTGTCAGCTGAGTTTCCTGCTGACTGAGAGGTCTGCAGCTTTAGTTATGTTACCAAAAGATATGATTTCACGATTTAAAATGGTCGTGTTATAAGAAATCTTAGATGCGTTTTCTTGGCGTAAGGATGCTGGGTTTTGTAAATAAGGCAATTAACTCAGTGACTACAACTCAAACTGGCTTCAGCTTTTTTTTCATTGTTGAAACCATCTAACTTTCAGACACAGTTCCACGTCATCATCGGTTCAAGAAAACAAATCCCTCATCTTATATTCATACTATTACTGATAAAGAACTAAAACACTTATGTGGAAGGAGATCACTTTAGTGTGAAAATGTTTCTTTCAAAGAAAAAAAACGTATGTATGGATGAAGCCTTAGGTTTAAGATAACTGTCAGATATTGTATTATTTATTGTCACCCTTACCTGTATAGATGCAAAGGTTAATGCAGCCCATATGACGTACATCATGATCTCCTTCAGCTTCTTCACAACAAGAGCTTCACAACCCTGAGACAGAACATAACATTTCCTTAAAAGAGCTTTCATGGTTGTAAATCTGTACATCAGAGAATAATAACTTCAGAGAATTTTAGTCCTTTTGAGTCAAAGAAAAAAATATTTACATCAGCACAACAAAATTCTGTGGTTGTAGCTAATATACCCCTACATTGAGGAATTGTGTACCTCTTGGTAGAGATCTGATGGTCGAGTGAGAGTACCAGTACAGTTGCTGATGCTGGGCTGACAGCAGCTGACTGGGACGCTGTTGTTCTTGGATTCTTTAAACCAGCGAGTATTCCTCCAGTCAGAGTAGTTGTGAATGCCGCAGCAGTGAAGCTAACAGGAGAACAGAGAAGAATGATGAGTGGAAAACCTACAATTTCGAAATTTGTGTCAGAGTCTGAAATATCCATCAAAACAATAAACACATGAACAGGGATGAAAATTGTTGATTCTTTGAAATTATTTAAATTTCAGCAGATATAAAAAGCATTTTCTCCCCCTCACCTGCCTCTGAACATAGTCAATAGCGCGGCTGGGAGCGTCGGTGTTGGTGCCGTTGTACTCGTTGTACACCTTCTGGATGGAGTGATTCACCTGGTTTTCAACCTGGAACAAACACACAGCTGCTGTTACCGTACCGGTTCAGTGATTTGGGTACAGAACATCAATAGTTTAAAAGTGGCCACCAAAATGTTTGAATAGTGTTGAGCATCCACAAAATACCTTGTCATTCAGTACAAAATGTAAACACCTTGGAAATAAAGCTCATCAGCTTCACTGAGCTAAACAGCATCTAGCATGCTTGCACCAAGATCTAATAATGCTTGTGGATTGCTGTCTAATGAAACTTAACATAAATATCTTGTAGAGGCATGCAAAAAAAAAAAACCTCTAACCTTTGCCCTGTAGATGTAGCCGAGCACCACCACCACACACTCTGTTACAAACACCAGCAGGAGAATTGCAGCAAACTGAAATGACAACACAGACACATTGTTCAGAGACGCAGGAGTCAGGTAAGTTAGAACCAGTGCAAGTAGATAAACATCTTCTCCTTAGCATTCAAGCCCATTTCAAGAGTACAGGTCAAAACAGTTCACACTCACAGTTGCCAGACCACAGGAGCTTTCACGTATTGTTGCACAGCAGCCAATCAAGCCGATGATGAAGAGAAGAGTCCCGACGGCTATTATGATGATGGCGGGAATCAAAGTGTACACGTCTTCAAAGAAGTGGTCATAGTCGTCGTATGTGATAAACACATAGGCTCCAATGTAGCATAAAATTCCAGCTGCAGCCTGCACATAAAAAACCCAGAGAAACAAGCGTCAGAGGGAGACAGAGAGGAGCAGGGCCTCCTCTTTTTTTATTTATGTTTCATTTGGTGATTACTTGCTCTGTGCTCTATGAGTCACACATGACAGTTACATTCAATTGTTAGACCAGGGCTGAGCCATGTGGCCACAAATCAAGATAAGATAAAAACTTTCATATCAGTCGATATCAATAATTATCTTAATAAATGTCACATCACTATTTATTTTCAGCTTAAATACTTTAATGAAGGTTGTGGTTTTAAACTTTTCTTTATGAGCAGAGATGTGTTATCCCTCCTCACTAAGCTTGTACAATGCAGCAGCATTATATCAGTATATTTGTTATATTGCT